CAATCTTTCCCAGCATCAGGCTCTTCTCCAGTGAGTCCTTCCTTCTCATTAGGTGGCCAAAGTACTTGAGTTTCAGCTTCAGGATCTGGCCTTCTAAAGAGCAGTCGGGGTTGATCTCCTCTAGGACTGACCGGTTGGATCGCCTTGCAGTCCAGGGGACTCGCAGGAGTCTTCTCCAGCACCAGAGTTCAAAGGCCTCCATTCTTTGGCGCTCAGCCTTTCTTATGGTCCAACTTTCACAGCCATGCATTGCAACTGGGAAAACCATGGCCTTGACTATACGCACTTTTGTTGGCAGGGTGATGTTTATTATACCCCCACTTTATTATTTTTTATAAATAAAGGCAGCAAACATACCTAATATCCAATCCTCCTATTTTTCTTCCACAACAATCCTGTGAGGTGGGTTAGGCTGAGACCGTGACTGGCCCAAAGTCACCAAGCCAGTGGCTTTCATGCTTAAAATGGGACTAGAACTCACAGTCTCCCAGTTTTTAGCCCGGACAAGGCCTTTGCCTCTATAACCTCAGCCTGGTTGGTTAGACTATGATTTAGCATCCTGTGAGAAGCCAGAAAATGAGTTTATTCAGTAACTAACTAACTAACTGGCGTTTCCGCTGGCTATTTTAATTCAGGATCTCACCATAACTTTTTGCCCACCACAGATATTCTCCTAAAAAAAACCCACGGCATCACATATCCCTACTTCTATAGAAAACCAAGAGTCCCAAGACACACACACACACACACACACACACACACACACACACACACACACACACACACACTCTAGTGTCTGGTTACACACATCCAAAATTCAGGCACAGTGTGCTTACAAAATAGCCTCACAAACCTATAATAAGTGCATCATTTAAATGCGTGAGCAAGCATCTTTTCTGCTTTCTGCGCCGCTTTCACACGACCCTCCCCCACAAAGGAAGTCACAAAGGAAGAATGTGTACACAGCACAGCAAATACACACAACAGGGAGTCATAATTGCCCCTTCCTCCGAGTCAGTGTACAGATACGTTGCACATGATCGCACACCTGGCAGGGACAGGAAACCTGTGAGCCCAGCCAGATGTTGCTAGTCTATAATTTCCAGAAGACTCAGCCACCTACAAGCTGTGACGAAGTGGAGAGCCACAGGTCTCCCCACCCACCATGGCCATCAAAAGAGGTTACACATTAATAAAGAAAACATCAATGTTAATGTTTTAATAGCTGGACTTGGGTACAATTCTGGGACAAATTGCTCACTGTTTACAGAATGGGTTATTATTATTATTTTTTAAAAAGCTAAACCAAAAAACAAGCCAACCACTTTTGGGTTCGGGGCAACTATGGTCCAGATCGACCCAGTGCGGTGCAGCCACGTGGGCTGCATTCACACAACACACCCCACCCCCAAAGTTTCTGGAAAAGATGGGTGGGGAGCCGAGTCTCCCTGCGAGCGACAGCCCTTCGATCTTTAGCCCGGTTAAGTCCATCGTGTGAACCCGGGGCCCCTGGCCAGGCTAGACACGCGCACAGCCGCAGAGAGAGCCAGCAGGAAGCGCCCGGCGGGAGCTTCAAACTTAGGGCTGTCAAGGCCCGGAGGGTGACTCCCCCACCTCCTCCACCCCGCGCGTGAAAACTCCTAGTTCCGTAACGTGTGAATGCGCCCTCCGTGACTCATCAAGGTCACCCGTGGAGGAGGAGAAGGAGGAAAGACCCTGCCGCCGCCGCCACCGCCCCTTCGGCCTCTGCCGCCTCCCCAGCCCCGCAGAGCCCTCTCGGCGTCCGCCCACCAAGCCGGGCCCGGCGCGGAGCCCCAAAGCCGCCGATCGCCAGGGACCCTCGCCCGGCCCCGCCGCCGCTCACCGCCTGGGGTCTCCTCAACCGCCACCGCCGCCTCCTCCTTCTCCTTCCCAGCCGGGCCAGGCCCATGTCCCGCAGCCGGGCAGCCGACGCGCTAGGCAGCCATGGCCGGGCAGGCGGAACTGAGCCGGGGCGGGGATAATCGCCTCCCCTGCGCGGCTCGGGCCGGCCTTCCGCGGAAAGGGGCCGGGCCGGGCGTGGAGGCCTGCCGGGCGCTTCCTCCCAGCCAGGCGCCCGCCCCAACGCCGCCGCCGCCGCCTCCTCCGGGTGGCTCGCAAGGCGAAGGCGCCCTGCCCGGCTCGTGCGCCAGGACGCATCTGGAGAGCCTCGGCGGGGGAGAGAGAGGTCTTGGGGGCGCGGAGGGCCGGACAGCCCACCCCCACGCGAGCGAGCCCCGCTCCTGGGAAGCCCCCCCCCGGCCTCTTTCTTGGCATGGGAAGCGGCTGGGCCTCGCCGCCTTCCGGGTTGGGTTTTTGCAGCCGCGGCCTCGCTTGCTTGGCACGTCCTGCCCTACGGGGTCCTCGCCTCCAAAGGCCGCCTTGGGGTGCAGCTGCTGGGGTTCGGGGCCAGGCCTCTGCTGGGTGGTTTTGGTTTCTATGGCTCTGTTGCAGGAGCTCCAGGAAGGCCAGAACTACCTTTGGGGGAAGGTAAGAAGGAAGGGCCAGATCCAAGTCACCCAACGGTCCCAAAGGTGCTTTTTTTCCCTTCCCCTCTCCAAAAAAGGCAACTGGGTGTCTTGTTTGTTTATGTACTTTGAAAAGGTTTCCCTTCTCATTCAAGAAGCTTTTTCGGTTCTAACTAACTGGTGGGGAATGGAAGGATTTATAGTCTTTGCAGCCAGCCAGTCCTGGGGGGACGGGGGACACAACAACATCCAGTTGCCTTTTTGAAAAAAAGCATCTTTGGGAAAACCAGGACCTGGATGATTGAGACTCTCCATAGGCAGTTATCCTATTAGTTACGCTGTCAAGAGGAGACTTAAAAGTCTCCGTGGCTGGAACCTTGAAAATATCATCATTATGTAGGAGTAGGCAGTGAGAGCTCTCTAGACAACCACATTCCTCAGTCAGCAAATATGCATAACCCAATTAGGTGTAAATTGGCTTTTGAATGGTGTATTCCGAAAGAATAATGCATTTTATTGCAAGTTCTAATGTTCTGTTCTTGCAGAAAACATTTTTTTAATTATTTGTTTTATTTTACCCACGGTTTTTGGTTGCTGCAACTTAAGCAATTCTGCTTCTCTCCACTTGGGGGGTTGCTGGAGAATGTAATAAAGGGGGGGGGGCTCTCAGATTTTTCTGCAAAAGTCAATGGGGAAAGGAGGGGTAAATTCTGTGTTTGAAACCACAGTTTACCTGTTGGCCAAAACTGGTGAGAAATTTGCACACTGGATGAGAACATGTCTACATGTATTTGCATGAGCGAAGGACTCGTCCTTCTATCCCAGTGGTTCTCAACCTGTTTAATGCCGCGACCCCAACCGGTCGTAAGTCAAGGACTAAACCGGTCGTAAGTTGAGGACTAAACCGGTCGTAAGTCGAGGACTACCCAACCGGTCGTAAGTCGAGGACTTTCCCTGCCTGGGAGCACCGCGCATGCGTGGTTCCGCCGCCTGCGCCGGCCGAGGCGTAGCTGGCAAGCGGCAGAGACGGAGCAGGCCGACCACCAGCTGGCCCAGCCCAAGGGAGGTAAGGCACCCGCCAGAAAAGGGGAAAAAGATGGCGGACAAAAAAGATGGCGGACAGCCTTGCTTGGCGACCCCCGTGAAATGGTCGATCGACCCCAAATGGGGTCCCGACCCACAGGTTGAGAACCACTGTTCTAGCCCACAGAGGCTAATATGACTTGGAACACCTGGCTGTATCTGCTATTTCACAACTGTAGTCATTTAATTACAGTACTGTACATATATGGAGATGCTTTGTGCTTTAATACGTTATGGATTAACTTGGAGGCGCATTTTAAAAATTATGTCTAAATAATGAAGAGTGATCTCAAAGTGCCAAATATGAAATATGCTGGCAGTTATATGTATCAAACGTGAGAACCCTATGGAATGTCAAATTGATTGTACACATACGTTAATAGCCTTGGATTGCAAAATCAATGAGGACACTTAGAAGATTAGATCACTTAGTGATGGTAATGGAATTTAAACTGTCTATTTTGCTTATAATACGAACAGCAGTACAATGGAAGACTTGGGGGTCCTCATCAGTTTGTTTTTTGTGTTTTAATAAAAGGCCATGCAAGCAAAAAAAACAACAACCCTATAATCTCCCAATAAATGCAACAGGGTAATATTAGGAATTGGGTTCTGGAAGGGAGAAGCCCTTTATTATTACTCTTAATTTTAGCAAATCAGTGGTCGAGGCTCTGTTCTTAACAGTATGATAAGAAATTAATATCCCTTAATCTTGACAGTTATTTATTCTATAGTTTGTGAGGTACAGGACTCCTTACAAGAATTCTGTAATTCTTTACTACAGAATTTAACTAGTCTTGCTTGCTATAAGCAATTCTAGTTAAATGACATGTAAAAGCCTCAATAAAATATTACTATACTTATACATGTTATCCATGACTTATTGAATTAGGTTTTTGAATCTAAATGTCTGGATTTAGGCAATATATTGAATTATAAACCAGCTCATTGTGTTCTAACTTAGCGGGCTATGTGAACTTACTCAACGCTATTAATATAAGTTCTGTTAACAAAAATATTTTGATTACACAAATAATACACAAAACAATATACTGTGTTATATCCACAATGGATTCTGGAGCATATTGGGAAATTGTACTGAATTTCAGGGTATCTGTCTGGAAACTGAATATTAAATGAGCATGGGCTATGTAGCACAACATTCCTAAACCCACAATAAATTTACAATTGATAGCTTAACCAGAAAAAAAGTGTTTGAATGGCCAAAGTACTACTGATTTTAACCCAACCAAAATATGGCATGACTTGAAATGAACTATTCATGCAACACAGTATAAAACTATCAGTGAGTTGTTGTGAAGAGGCATGATTGTAATAGAACATGTAATTTAACTTACTCATGCTTCACATAATTCTGCCAACAAAAACTGAATATTAATTCAATGTGTTTAATAAAGACAAAACACAGTATACTGTTTGATATGTTGTTTAATCAGAATCTCTTTATCTACTGATAGGACTTAAATGAAGCTCAGATTACATTGTAAGTCACAGAACCTCTGTATATAATCCAGTTATGTCAACTCTTAAGTTGTTTCCCTACATCAATCAATGGGGTATGTTTTCTTACTTGAGCATCTTCATGGTAAGTTAGCCATTGTTCCATCTACTAACTGGATGGCCTTTGGAATTTATCCAAAACGATCCATCAGTAAAATACAGGATCCTCTTATGTAAAGAGATGAACACCCTTTTTATCTTCAAATTGTTCCAGTTTTGTCTCAAGTAATAAATTGCCTGAAACAAAAACAAAGACCAGTTAGCGTTATAGTTATCTGATAAATATGGTTATATATAATAATGTACATCACGATGTAGTTATAATAATTTTGTACTTTCAAGTCAGCATTGGCTCCTGGTGACTAGAAAATGAAGCTAAATTGCTGAGTCTTTAGAATTCAAGCAGACAAACATCTGCCATACAACCAAAAGAAATCTCTGGACAATGGACATCGCAATACAGCAGAAAACACTGGAGAAAAATCACTAAATATAAAGGCCTGCAAATAGAAGTAAAATAAACATGTCCCAAAGGTGCTTTTTCAAGAGGCAACTGGACTTCCTTGTTTTTCTTTGAAGCTTCTTGGACGAGAAGTGAAACCTCTTCAAAGAAAAACAACCAAGTCAGTTGCCTCTGGAAAAAGCACTTTTGGGACTGAGAAGCTCCACAAACACTTAAAATAAACGGGCAAGCCGGTACCAAGAGTAATAGGGGTCTTGGATGCAATCTAAAACATCTGGAGCACTACTCGATTACACCATCGGCGTTGACAAACTCACCACTGGTCAATTGCAAAAGGCAGCTTTACTTGGAATAGCTGACATCCTGCAATGTTTAATATTATTTACCATCTGTATATCCTGGTCTCTTGGGAAGGCCTCTATAGGTGGACAAAAAAAGCCAAATTCAGTCTAATGACTGACTGTGCAACAAACCATAATACCAGGCTGATTTTTAGTTTTAAGTAACACCTGGACATAAAGCCTATTTCCAGAAGACGGGACACCTCTGTACATGCACTTTCCTAGCTCCAATCTCTGCCTTTCTGCACAATCAAGATGCATTAAGCTCTCGGGTTGGCTTCCAAAGTCCAGAAGCCCCAGACTGCAGCCCAAAATAATTGACAGCTATTCATGGAGGAGTAAAAAGCTCCTGCAATTTAAAGACTTTTTTTTTGCAGACTGGAAATTTTTTTAAAAAAATGTCTAATTTGGACATGGTGGGGATGCGTTCAGGAGTCTGAAGGGACGTTGCACGATTTAAATGCTGCATTTCACCCCCCCCACTGGACCCCAAACAGGACGGTGGGGGTCGTACCCAGCTCCCACTCGTTTGCACTCCTGCGTGTCAACACGCGCATCAAATAACAACTCCGGGCGCCTCTCGCGCGCTCCACACCGCGCAGGCGCGCCGGCGGCTCCCCTCCACCGCTCCCCTCCCCCTTTCGAGCGGGAAAAAAAAAAAAAGCTTCGGCAGAAAATGGCGGTTCTCTCTTTCGCCTCGGCTCTCCCCCTTCTCCCGGTCTCCGCGCCTGCGCAGTCGGACTCTCAGGTAGCCGTATCCCTCCGCCGAGTTTTCTTCCTCCCCCCCCCGCCCCACACACACACAATCCGTTTTTTTTTTCTTTTGCCAGCGCCCGTTGGGGGGCGACCCGACAATCCCCGCGTCCCCCCATGAGGGGAGCAGCGCCCCTCAGGTCGGGGTGCCGCTCCGAGAGGACCGCGGCGCAGCCACAACCGCCGCCCGCCTGGCCCCGCGCTGTTCCAACTCCTCCTCCCGCCGCCGCCGCCGCCGCCGCCGCTCTTCCCCTGCGGGCCTCTCCTTCCTTCCTCGCCTCAGCGCTCGCGAGCGCGGCCGCCCGTGTCCCTCCGCCGCGCGCGAGCGGGGGACTCTTTGGCGGGGCTTTCGGGCGCCTATGAGAAGCGGCGGCGGCGGCGGAGGGCTCCTCCGGCGGCCCTGCTCGTCGGTCAGCCGGGCGCGGGCGACACGGTAAGGGGAGGCCGCCTTCCTCCCTCCCTCGCGCTCCCTCCCTTCCTTCCTTTTTCCTCCCCCCGCCTCACCTCCGATGGCCGGCGGGCCGGCCAAGCTTTTCCAGGTCAGTCTGCGCCTTTTTTGTAGAGGGGGCCCCTTGTTACCGGATGTGGAAGTTGATCTCTTCTTCGCTGGTAAAAAATAATTCCACTTCCCCCGGAACCCGGCGCTTACCGCGGTTCCCTCCGCTCCTTCCAGCGCCCAACCCAGCCAGGATTTCCTGTCGGGGAAAAGCGGGGACGGGAGAGGCCTTCCGGGGATCTGGCGCTCGGGGGCCGCCGCTTGGCGAAGGAGCGGCGCGGGGCGGCGGAGGGCGCGGGCCGGGCGGGGAGGCCGCGCTCCCGGCGGGAAGGAGCCGAGGGAGGGGGGGGGAAGGGGAAGGGGGTGGCGACCCCCGTCCTGGTTCCCCCCCCAAGGCGTTCACACGTGTCCCCCCCCCGCCGACGCGGGTCGGGCTCGTCCCCTTCCCCCCCCCTGCCGCTCCTAGAGCATGCGCTGCCCGCCGCTCGCTCGCCAACCCTGCGCTCCCGGGCGCCCTTTCTTTCCCCCCCCCTCCTCTCTCCTCGGGTGGCGGGCTTGATCCGGCCTTCCAAGTTGAGGGGTGGGGGTGCTTAGGGCCGTGGGGAGGGGACAAGGCGGGTGGGTGGGTGGGAGGGAGGGAGGGATGGGGCTGGTGGCTTGGCCAGGAAGAAGGGCGTTTTTAAAAAGGAACTGGACGGCCGTTTGTCTGAAATGGTGTAGACAGGGCTAGCTTTGAGGATGTTGCCTAGTTGTTGTAACGCAGGGGTCTTCCAACGTGGCCCTTTTGTGACTTGTGGACTTCAACTCCCAGAATTCCTCAGCCAGCTTGGCTGGCTGAGGAATTCTGGGAGTTGAAGTCCACAAGCCACAAAAGGGCCAAGTTGGAAGACCCCTGTTGTAATGAAACGTTTGCAAGAAAACAAGCTCAGAAAAAAACAACAACAACAAACTAGAACTCCTGGTATAGGGTTTCCTGCCTAAGCAGGGGGTTGGGCTAGATGACCTCCAAGGTCCCCCTTGCAACTCTGTTATTCTATTCTAAGCCAGGAAGCAAGTCTCCTGTGGTGGGGTTGTCAATTTCTTCAAGACCCCTGCATGGCCTGTGCTGCCTGTTCCTTACTTTGGGAGGGAGGGATGCTGGCTGCTTCCAAACTTGGTTCGTGTGAGCTGCAATAAAGGGTAACCTTTGGCCTCTTTGGAGTTGTCTTCGAAATCCTCCCATTCCAGGAAGCCCAAGGAACCGATTCCCACCAGACCCGTGTTTTGGCTGCCGTGGATGCTCTATAAATACAATCCTTCTTCTCTCTCTCTCCTTTGTCACCGTCTCTTAACTCACAGCTTCCCATCCATGGTTTCTTCTCTCCTGTAATTAAGAGATCGTTCTCTCTTCTTCCTGTTGAATTAAACCCTGGTTTGTTGAGCTGTGGTTTATGGATCATGTTGCTCAACTAAGCACATTTATTTGCCTTTTAAGATAAGATAACCTTTATTGTCATTTTTTTTTACTATGAGCACACTAACTCACATTAAAAATAAAATTCTGTTGTCTGCTCTCAGAAGAAAGTTTATATATTTTAGTTTACTTAACTTTAGCTTAAGATTTAATTTAAATCTGATCGGAGCCCTTGAAAGTAATTTAAGGGTCAAAGAGCCTAATTATCTTTTTTTGAACCCACACATAATGGTAAATTCACCCTTATGGTGTGCTTTTGAATTAGAATGTCAGTCCCATTTCTTTTATATATTCAGAATAGAAGCCATGATTTCTGAAGTCCCTAAATTTGTATGTGATACTCAGAGTTGTGCAAGTCCCGTTTATGTTTTATTATTACTTCATCAAATTGGCTTGTTTTGGCTTGGGTATACATCTCAGATCTTTGATGAGTTCCTTGAACAGTAATGTTTAGATATTTCCTGTAGCCTCATTGTTTTTAATAAAGCTATTCCTGTGATAAAAATTTGAGACTAGTTTTTCAGCCATCAGCAAATTGAATTTAAGAGACATTTTTATATTTGTCTATAGAGGTTTTTGAATTGTATCTAAGAAGTATCTAAGAAGTTATATATATATAAACCGTTTTTCAGACTTTCCCCCCTAATTCATATGATTCACTCAAAGATGATCTCATGTACTCACTTTCAAGAGGCTGTTAAAACAGTGAAATTAACCAATATTGATTCAAAATAAACCCAGTTGAAATCAGTGAAGTTGGCTCCTCAATATGAATGCAGTTAAATCCTATTAAAACAGTAACATTAACAAGTAAACAAGCAAACAGCTCTGGATTGATTAACATTACTGCGAAAATATATTACTAAAAGTACTTAATAGTTACTTAGTACTTAGTCATTAATATTGCTACCGTATTACTAAGTAAAATTTGAAAATACTCTGATGAGAATTTTTTTTCCAGTTTTGTGATGATATATTCTTGTCCATCCATTTAGTGTGGGTATTTATTTACTAAAATGTCATTCTCCCTTATCTTTCCACTGGGAGTGCAAGTGGTTTCCCTTCCCCTATTTGGCCAGTATTTCCTCCAGCTAGTAAATAGATGTTTTTGAGATGGTCCTTAGCTGGCACCCTGCTCTTTCCTTTTTCTTCTTTTTTTCCTGTGTTTGCTAGTGGGCGGTTATTCAAAACCACCCTTTATCCTAGCCAGAAAACAGGAAGAACAGCAAGGCACCGCTTCATTTCAAGAGGTGCAGGGTAACCATAGGGGACCAAGAGAAGGGATGAGTCTATAGCCAAAGCAAAACTTCCTGCCCTGCAGTTCCAAAGGAAATGCTGCAGAATTGCAGTGTCCCCCCCCCCCCAACGGGAGTGGAGCCAATTCATCTCTGAAATCAATCAACTTCAGCATGTGAAGTCTGCCAGAATACCCAGGGTGTCATGGGGACCTGCAGACATCAGTGGAGGGTATACTTACAGAATCTACAGCACTTTGCATTTTATTAGTACTCCCAAGACCCAACAAGATAGACATTTAAAATATGAGGTCCATAGTCCTTTCGGATAAAAAACATGTCTCTTTTAGCACTACAATTTGAGGGCCTCCAGGAAAAAGCTGAGGATGTTATATAAAGTTATATTAAAAACAATACAGTGGTGACGGTGGGGAAAGTCATTGCAATTCTGAAGTTGTTTAAGAGGAAGAAATCCTCTATTCAAATATCAAAGATACAGTAATAACATCCAGCAACTAGTTCAGTGGTGGTGAACCTATGGCACGGGTGCCAGAGGCGGCACTCAGAGCCCTCTCTGTGGGCACCCGCGCCGTCGCCCCAGTCCTAGGCCTTCAGCTGGGTTGTATAAAACCTTTTCGCTTTAGGCCTCCGCCGCCGTGTGCAGAAAAAAAAAAAAGGTTCAATCAGTCAATTTCAATTTCTCGCGGGGAAAAAAAAGATCTTGCAAAGTTGGAATTGATTGATTGAACTTTTTAGTCCCACCCAGTCTGCCATTACCACTGCAGCCACGCCCACCCAATGGGCCATACCTACCCAATTGGCCACACCTACCCAATTGGCCACACCCACCCAATGGGCCACACCCACCCGGCACCCGACGATGCATAAGTGGGTTTTGGGTTGCAGTTTGGGCACTCAGTCTCTAAAAGGTTCGCCATCACTGAACTAGTTGGTGAATATTGTTTGAACTTTCCCTTTCTGTTTATATTCTTCCCAGATTCTCTCAGACGCTCAAAAGGGCTACAAAATAAAACAAGTTAATAAATAAACAAAAGATACGTAAATACATTCTAAATCAAGCAACTATCATGAGAAAAAAAAATCTTTACAATTGGTTGCTATGGTGTTAGTGCTGCATTGCTGTAACACAATTCGGCAAAATAATTCTCCACTAAATCCCCCCCTCCGGTTACTTTTTATAGTATTCAAGAAAACCTAATTTTAATAAATAAGAAACTAGCTATTAATCACTTTAGGAAGAGGGACTAGGGCTGAAGTGGATTTTGAAGCGCATGAAATATTTTCTGCTTGATCTTTGGAGTCTGGCATTCCTTTGGAGGAAGAGAGATGGATATTCAAATAGCCCTAATAAACATTTAGGAATTTCACCATAAATAAGTATGCCAGTGCCCACAAGTTTTTACATTGGTACCTGAGTTCTTACAAATCAGAAATAAAAATACTGTGGATTCTTGAAAGCTGTTCAGGGCAATATACAAAGGAATGACAGTATTCGTGATTGTTATATGTTGCTCCATTCTAAATTTCCAGATTTGTTGTTATCTAGCCATGAATTTTACAAGATGAAGCACAGTCGTCACTGGATTCGAACTAGAACAGAAAGCCTCTGAAGTTAGAGGAATAGGTGGAAGAATGTTCCTACTAACAACAATAATCACAGTATTCAAGAGCTTTCTAGAGCTCTGAATCTGAGCAGGAACAGTTGGAATTTCTAAGTGCTTATGCCATTAAAATGTTCATTCAGAGCTTCACTGTAACTCGATAAAAGCTTTGAGAGTTTGGATCTATCTGAAAAAAAAAATGAGATTTGAGTATTGCTGGTGAACTGTAAGTGTTTAGCAGAATTTAGTAGCATGTTAAGATATTGGAATGTGGCAGTTTTCTGTGTTCACTATACAGTCTTTTAGACTTAGGAATGCAAACATTAAACTAATTGCTTGCACAGCACTTATGTAGCTGAAGCCTAAGTTCGTTGGGGACTTATATAGCTGAAGCCTAAGTTCGTTGGGGCTTACACCTAAATATGTTTACATTGGCATCCTAACAAGTAAACTGGTTTTTCATTTTCTCCGTGTGTTTTTGTAAATGGCACTTGTTGCTGTAAGTACACACGTGGAACACTCAGTTTAAGTGGCTGTACTCAGGAAGTCAGTTACTGGTTGAGTAGACGACAACCCAACATTCCATTCGTCATGCAGAAATTTTGCCCCGTTTACAAATCTAAGCTGATCAGGGGATGACAAGAACAGAAAGAAAGCTCTTTCTTTATAGATCAAATCTATTTTATAATCCCATATGAGGAAGGGTTGTATGTATAAATGTATCTTAAATGTTATAAAGATACATTTCTAAAAATCAAGAGATTTAAATCAGAAGTCCCCAACTTTTGGGGGCACCAGGGACCGGTTCCGTGGAGAAAGGTTTTTCCACGGAC